GTTACAGGCGGTCTGTCGCTCAGGCTTCCCCGCGGGGGAAGGGGAGAAGAAGCGCTGACCTACGTAATGAGAGGTGAGCGGCTTCGATCCCCGCCTCTCGCCTTCACGCATTGACGTCAGCAAAGAAAGAAGATGTGTGTGTAGGCGTTAATGTCTTTCTAGGACTACATATAGAGAGGAAGCCTGTACGGAGATTCTTTAGTGGAGCGGTGACGGCGGGAAAACGTTGAAGAAGCGCGTGCGTGTGGGAATCTTGCTGCGTCGTGGTAGAGATGCAGATCGAGGTTTGAATGCTCACATATACGCCATCGCAGAAGCGCGTTATTATAACGTTAGACTCTGAGGTATTATTATCCACCCACATACACTGGAACGTATACGTATACGTACGTGTGCATACCCGCACTAACGCACTCACGTACGTACACGCTAGCGCGCATACCCGCACCAACGCACTCACGTACGTACACGCTAGCGCGCATACCCGCACCAACGCACTCACGTACGTACACGCTAGCGCGCATACCCGCACCAACGCACTCACGTGCGTACACGCTAGCGCGCATACCCGCACCAACGCACTCACGTACGTACACACTAGCGCGCATACCCGCACCAACGCACTCACGTACGTACACGCTAGCGCGCATACCCGCACCAACGCACTCACGTACGTACACGCTAGCGCGCATACCCGCACCAACGCACTCACGTACGTACACGCTAGCCGCGCATACCCGATACCGGCACCAACGGCCACTCAGCGTACCGATACACGCTAGCGCGCCTACCGCACCAACGCACTCACAGTACGTAACCGTCTACCGCTAGCGCGCATAACTAGCAAGCATACACAGCCCCGCAATCGCCGCCACGCAACAGCACTCACGTACGTAGCACGCGCAACAAGCATACCCCGCAATGCGCCAAACGGCGCACTCACGCTAACGTACACGCGCGCGCATCCGCACCACAACGCCTCACGTACGTTAAACGCGCACGCGCATACCCGCCCAACAGCACTCACGTACGTACACGCGCGCGCATACCCGCACCAACACGCACTCACGTTACGGGACACGCTAGCGCGCATAACTAGCAGCAATCACGCTAGCGCGCATACCCGCACCAACGCACTCACGTACGTACACGCTAGCGGCGCATACACCGCGACCGCAACGCACTCAAGTACGTAACCGCAGCTAGCTGCAGTAGCCGCCCGAACGCACTCAGCGTACCGTACACGCGCACGCATCAAAGAACGCGCACCAACGCACTCACGTACGTACACGCAGCGCGGCATACCCGCACCACGCACTGCACGTACGTACACGCGCGCTGCATGACCGCACCAACGCACTACGTACGTACACAGCGCGACGCATACCCCAGCCAAACGGCACTCACGACGTACGGACTCGCGCGCATACCCGCACCCAACGCACTCACTGTACGTAACGCTGCGCGGCATCCCGACCAGCACTCACGTACGTACACGCTAAGCGCGCAATACCCGCCCCAGACCTCCCGGTACTAACGGCTAGCGCGCATACCCGCACCAACGCGCCTCAGCGTACGTCCACGCTACGCCAATACTGAGCGAAAGCATACACGCGCACCGGCTACCCGCACCAACGCAGCGTCACGTGCGTAGCACGCTAGCGCGCATCAGACCCGCACCAAAGCACTCCACTACGTACACGCTAGCGCGGCTACCCGCGAACTAACGCCTCACGTCGACACGCTATGCGGCATACCGCACCAACGCAGCTCATCGTACGTACACGCTAGCGTCATACCCGCGACGCAACGCAGCTCCACGTGCGACACACGGCGCACGCAACCCGCACCAACGCACTCACGACGTACACGGCTAGCGCGGCATACAACCGCACAACGCGACTCACGTGGCGACAAACCGCACGTGCATTACCCGCAGCCAACGGCACTCACGTACGACACGCTGCGCGCATATCCGCGACTCAATGCAGCTCACGTAGGTACAGGCATATACCATTGCCAAGCGCACACTCGCCCCATCCGGGTTGGCAAAAAAAAGCACACGAATACTGTTCTACGCTACTTGTTGATTCAAGCGAGACTTGGAGAATGACAAAGGGAGACGAGAAAAGGCTAGATACCTTCCAACATAAATGCTTAAGAAGAAAAATGAAGATATACTGGCCTATGAAAGTATCAAACGCCGACATCAGGAAAAAAGCTAACATCGAACAATCGAAGCATGATAATAAAAAGGAGATGGAAATGGATTGGCCATGTCAATCAGAATGAGAAAGACAAAGCCCAGGGGGGAGGCATTGCATTGACATGGGCCCCGGAGAGGAAGAGAAAAGGGGAAGACCAAGGGTGTATATATCTGGTCAAACTGCATGCAGCGCCCCCTTCGCACAACGTTCTCCGGGTACCAGAGCGTAGAATTGAGCTAGAGCGAGAGCGCCATCTGTCGTGGAGTTTGATATTTGGTAGGACAGATATCGCCATCTATTGGCTGAATTAAATTTTATTCATGTTACGTCGTCCGGGCAACTGATAACCATTAAACCGAGACACCTGGATTTATTTTTAATGTTAAGTTACTGTGACGAGTATCCACTTAACTTTTTAAACGTCTGATAACACTGGTTATGCGAGAACAGAGGTCTACCACTATGATACAGAGAAATTTGGTACGACTAGAAAACGATTAGGATAAGGATTGCCCACATCCCTTTCTTGTGAAACTACTGGTGCATAACATAGCATGTGTTTTGTATATGAATAGATATGAATAGTACAGGTTTCATGGCAATACGCATAGTAAATTTATTTTATTATTTCTCAGGGCTGCAAGTAAAATGGCACATGTTGAATGTAGGAAGTTTACTCAGTAATTGCAGAAAGAATTGATGAGGTTGTAAAGGCCACCTGACTAAGGAAGTAACCACCGCAAACCACCCCAAACCCACGAGTTCACGTGTAAGGTTTCACAACGCACGCCAGCACGCACACCAACGTGTACGTTCACACACCGCAACGGCATGCATGTGTCACGTGCCACGGCACGCACACACTCAGGCACGCACGTGTACGTGAACTACGGCACGACGCAGAACGCGACGCAACGTCTACGTGCACATGCACACCGCGCAACACACAGCAACGCACGCACGTGTACGTGCTTACACACGGACGCACGCCTGCCGCACGGCGTACGTGCACACACACGCACGCACGCCGCACGAAACGTTACGCGGCACAAGCGCGCACGGTGGGCAACCACGTGCGGTACGTGCGCACGCAGGCCAGGCCGCATGCACTCACGGGTACGTGCCACAGCGTCGGCGCACGCAGGCAGCGCGACGCAACGCACGTGTAAGTTCACACGACGGCAAGCGACGCGACGCACGTGTACGTCCCACGACGCGCACGTAGTAGTGCCCCGCACGCACACACTCATAGCACGAACGGTGTACGTGGCACACACACGGGACGCCCACGCATGCCACGCACGTGTACCGGCAGCAAGCGCGCACGCCGCATGTGTAGGTGCGCACACCAGGCAGGCACGCAGCGGGTAACGTGCACTACGCGGCAGGCACGTCACGGCACGTGTAAGTTCAGCACGCCACCCACTGCACCACGTCACGTGTACGTGCACTACGCAACGCGACGCACGCCGCACGACACTCATGGCACGTCACGGTGTACGTGCACACCACCGCACGCACGCACGTCTACGTGCACATGCAGGACAGCGCGCAACACGCACGCACAGCACCGTGTAGTGCAGCACACCACGGACGCACGCACGCCATGCTACGTGCACAGCACTCACGCCACGGCACGAACGTGTACTCGGCAACAACCGCGCACCGCAACGCACGGCAGGCAGGCACGCATGCCAAGCCAGGGTCACGTGCGCACGCGGCGACTCAACGGGCATGGACGTCGCACTGTACGTGCACACGCACCCACTCACGGCATGCACGAGCACGTGTCCGTGCAACGCACCGCACAGCAATCACCGCACGTGTACGTACACACGCACGCACGCACGTGTACGTACACACGCACGCACGCACGTGTACGTGCACACACACGGACGCACGCACGCGTACGTGCACACGCACGCACGCGTACGTGCACACGCACGCACGCGCGCACGTACGAACGTGTACCGACACACGCGCGCACGCACGCACATGTACGTGCACACGCACGCACACACTCATGCACGCACGTGTACGTGCACACGCACTTACGCACGCACGCACGTCTACGTGCACATGCACACACGCACGCACGTGTTCGTGCACACACACGGACGCACGCATGCACGCGTGCGTACGTGCACACCCGCACGTTTACATACGCACGCATGCATAATAAATCAGTAATAATCGCTATCGGGTGTTGTCGTGTGGACGCTACATAATCGCTAACTCGAGTTAGCTTAACTCGAGTTAAGCGTCGTCGTGTAGACGAGGCTTGTATGTGAGATGGGTTGATATATTATTGGTGCATGCAAAATGTATTTATTGTTCGCCACAGCTGCCGTTCTGCTTTCGCTGTAGTTCCATAACTACATAGGTTCTTAAATTAAAATAATTAGTATAATTCTGCAGTCAACTAAAACTCCTGCATTTCTGTGGCTACGGTAACACTGTATACAGATTCGTAATAAGCACACGTGATTTGATAATTTGTTGAACATTTTTAAATGAACTCGTACGTACACTACGTGTCTTGTATTTCAGTTAGATAAAACAACTGCTAGACATTTTACTTCCATAGTAGCAAATCTAAAGCTATTGTGGGCTTTACGCCTGAGAAGTCTACCTATTTGAGCATGCTAATGTGACCATGTGAATTTTGATGGGAGGCACGTCCTCAATATTACTTTGTATCATTAAGTTTTAATTAATAAATATGTCTGTTTATGTATTGCAGGGATACAATTTTCTGATCTGACATTTTTCCTTACAAACATGTTTACTGACTGATTTACAAATTTGGTTAATATAATCAACCCAATTTAATGTTTCATCAAGAGACATTTTGTACACTAGTGACAGTTGTAACTTTTCCATATACATACACACAAGTTATCAATGGGTACAGAACCATTATAAAAGACAATATTAATAAACACCTTGATACATGTATATTTAACTCCACAGGATTGATAAATATGTTCACAATAACTAAAAGATGGTTATATTATACGCCAGTCCGTCGAGTTCAATTGAATCAATCGCCACATTTCAACACACATTCAACGTATGTCACTCAGTCTCGTCATAGAACGTGTGTCCCCACAGATAGCAAGCATGGCCAGCATTGCGTCCAGGCATTTGAAAACCTGTGTCGTGGTGAGTTTTCATCTAGGGTATCAACGTTCTTAACCGTAGTCAGCCGCTATCAGTTGTCGTTGCGTCTCCTAGCGGGCTCCGCAAATGTGCTCTCGGATTTTGCCAGTCGCAATGCGCCCCTGTGTCACTGACCACCTCATGCCAGCAATGGACTTCATTGACATGTGTTCCACATACCCTTGTGCAGCAGTCTACAGGGGCCCTCCAGTGGCAGTGTGGGTAGGATTTGCAGCTGACGTCCTCAAGCACGAGCGACAACGCGTGCTTGTTGTCAGAGAATGTGTGATGTCAACCACAGCCGCATGCCTGATTGACAGCGACCATCACGTCCTGTTACGACGTGATGCACTTATTCGACTTTGGCATTGACATTATTCGAATTTGACATTGGGCTACGACCTATGCATGGACCTGTTACCATTGTGCGTACTGGCCATGCTCCGGGATTCGTCACCTCATTGACCTGTTGAGACGCCATAGGATTTGCATTGAAGTTAGTCGTGTGAAGAATGCCAATAAGAATCCGGTCGCGGAAAGGGCTGTGCAAGAGCTAGACGATGAGCTTCTGCGTCAAGAGCCTGGTGGTGGTACTGTTCCAATACTTACTCTCTCCTTAGCTGTGGTGAGGACGAATGATGTGGTGACTGCGTTACTACCGTGCTGCCAAGACGTTCAACTTGTCTAAAGCGGCCTCCTAAACACTTGGTGTGCTGTCATTCAGCTGAGCATTCACATTTACTAAATAGTTATTTTTCAACATTTCAGCAGAAGTGCCAAATCGCCCAGTTGCCGGGTGTCGTTTTTTTGGCATTTTTAGTTTTGAATATCTGAGCTTTTTTGTTGGCTGAGATTCTGTCAACAACTCAGATTTTCTTTTCGACGGTAACTTTTCCTTAACTATAAGCCCGCTGCTTTTGTGAGCAGATTGTTTTAATTTCAGGTACATCTGGTGGAGGCCAACTTCTACATCATTGAGCGTACTGTCATCTAGTACGTATGTTAGATTGTTTATTGACTTCAGCAGCTCCCTGCACTTGGGTCCTCGAGCACGTGGAGTATGGCTTTTTGTGGGTAGCTGCCTATATTCTGTAACGTTAGTAGTAGATTCGATTCCACCTGTAATATCATTATCACACTGAATGATATTAATACTATCTTCATTACTGCTGTTCATTTTTTGCTTGGCACGGCACATATGAGCGCGTATGTCTGCCTTGGTTGGGAAAAAGGCACGATTGGTACGTGGTGGTAGCTCTCGTCCAGCAAACATGTTCTTGACGAACCAACATAAGTGCCGCTTCATCTCTAACACCGTACCGACTCCTTCTCTAACCATGTCGCAGAGGTAGTTTAGCACACGCTTGTCCATCACCAGTGAAACACCACTTCCCTGAAATCAAAAATTATATATCGCAACTGGTAACGTTTACAGTGTGATTCCATGGTATTTCCATTCTCTTTATCTACTACTTTGTCAGAGTCATCAGAGGTCTATAGATAGTTGTTTATGCGCCATTCCAGCAAAAAATCCGTTGTACGCGGTGTCGACTTTAATACCCCGTACAGACTACGAATTTGATATGGTATTAAACTAGCGCGCGCCAGGCCTGCGCTAAATATTTGCAGTGTGTACACGCTATCCCACTCCAAATACACGCTGGCCCGCTCCAAGTTGGCCCCGCAAATAAAGCAGGGCCAGGCCCGAGCTAACTTAGCCCGGGATAAGATAGCCCGCTTGTGTGTGTGCCAGTACACAACAAGCGGGCCAGACCAGGTGCAAAATTGCAATACGCATGCGCATAGCCTTATTTGGGTCACGTAATTGTGCGCTCGCTGTACCTCGCAAAAAAAGGTATATTTTTTAGCCTTACCTCTCCAACAGGATGATTCCTGTGATCACTCATATCCGGTAGGCACACATGCAGTTCTTTTCTGACGTTTTCTATGCACAATGTTGACAGTGCTTTTTTAATTGCCTTTGAGGATTTATCCCTGTAAGACTTGGTGTCTTTCTCAACCTGAAGTGTACAAATTTAATATACTGTTAAGATAAACAAAGCAATCAGGAGCAATGACAGGCATTCCAAATACCAGAATTTAACATGAAAAATATCCATGACATCATGAATATAAAATACAACATAGGTGCTAAAACTAAATAATGATCATCTGCATGATAATTCAAGCAAAATGTAGCTGTCAATGTCACTATTTATTTCTATAAACAAATCTTTTGATGGAAACCACTCTCCTGCAAAAGTGTGATAAATACCAAAATTGGCCAATTGCAATTATATAGCTGGAAAGGACACAACTATACCCTAAAACAAACTAGAAATGGCAGTTGTCGCCAACTACATGTATCCCCCGCGATCTAGTTTGGTCATGCTAGGTCAATTAGGGGCAAAGTTATAAAGCGGAAGGGAAAGTGTCTGCGGCGGCGGCGAGCGGCGGCTGAACAGACGTGAAACCATAGTATCCCCGTCAACTTTGTCGCGGGGGATACAATAACTTATTATAAACCCTTAAATAACTTACCTTGAACTGTGGGAATGTAATGATTTCATTGACTGTAATTTTTGCTGGGCAACCTAATTTTTTGGTGTCTTGAATCATTAAGTTGTTCCTTTGCCATACGTGGTCAGGGCCACCCTAAAATGGAAAAAATGAGATGACTGTTTTATTTCTAGCCTATCATACTAGGATAATCTACTATGTTTAATTGTTTAGCCATTTCATTTTCAGAGTTGGTACACTGCATGGCTTCTGCCTTTTTAAATACAGGTCATAAGAATTGCTGCAAATGTTTTAATGGCTATTTTACTCTGTGTGCTCCCCTAAAGTGGGGTTTGAAGGTTTTTCTATTATAACCACTCAACCATCTGATCCTACCTGTTCAGTGTGTCGTTGTTATTGCGAAACTGTCATAGATGGCACTGGTTAATTGTACTGACTCTTAAATATCTATAATATGTGCCAGGAAGAAAATGGGTGGTGCGAAAGACTAAATTTGTAGTCTTTAGTTTGTGTCATACTCATAGCTAGATGCTTTCTAAAGACTCAAGATATTTAGAAAGCAATAATATTTTTTATTATTTGCAGGGCTTTTGCCAGTTTGGGTTAGCCTTTACTTTTAGTAGGCATATTCTTGAATTGATTATTTTGTTACTGCGAGTCTTTATGATTAAATTTTAAAATGGCCAACCTTTTTTCCTGCTTTATATTTCTTTTTAAAGGCAACCTTCCTGTCCTTGCCATGGTGGCAGTCGTATACCATCGGTCGTGACAAACACATGTAAGGAATGTGGTTATCCCATAATACTCTATGTTTCTCTCCTCGAACTTTATCTAGGCCTGGGCCTATAGCTGAAATAAAATGAGACTATATTGGCTAGAGGCTTTAGCTATTAGCTTAGTATATATAAATAATCTATTACGGTCTATCATCACGTTACTCGTTAGTACAAACATCCTATTAGGCCTACACACACAGCACGTGCTATGTTATAGCTTGGGTAAATGGTCTACACTGGCCAAAACCTATAAGCCTTATCGCCAATCGGAACAGCAATGCATCATGGGATAGGAAATGGGACATTACTAGCGCCGCCGCGGCCACGAGCGGTTAGCAGCCGGCTGCACGCAATAGGCGTCAGTATGCATGCGCGATACCGTTCGCATATATTTGGTAATTAATTAGACTAATCGTGCTTCAACAAACTGAAAATTCACAGAGATTATAGCTAAGACATGTATTTATATTCATCTAGATTTCTAGAAATGTAACTCAACTCGTTCGGAAGATATGATAGTTAGTACCCTTTCCTATCGCCCAGAGCCGTGCGTACATAGCCGGCTGCACGCAATAGGCGCCTATGCGCAATACCGCTCTCGTATATTTGGTAATTAATTAGACTAATCATGCTTCAACAAACTGAAAATTCACAGAGATTATAGCTAAGACATGTGTTTATATTCCTCTAGATTTCTAGAAATGTAACTCAACTCGTTCGTGAGATATGATAATTAGTACCCTTTTTTATCACCCATATATTACGTATGAGCGCCGATCGCTTCCCCCTTTTCCATCCCATCATGCTTTGCGGTGGTGCGCCATCTGGTATATTGTCTATAAAGTTATCACATTCATATATGTTTTCAGTTTGTATGCTTGTACATTTTTAATAGGGTCGAGAGTGCAGCACCTCTTTACTAAGTGGTTACCTAGTTGTATAAACTAGCATGAATAACTGAATCAGACAATCAAGGAAAAAACTCTAGAAGAATATTGATTGCAAGCCAAAAATCTATTTTTACGGAATAAATAATTCAATTCAATATACGATAACAATGTTTCGTTACGTTTCGTAAGGTTTGTAGCGTTGAGCATATTTACCAATTTCATTTCCACAAATGTTGCTTGAATATTGCATCTCCTTGATCCTTTTCACAGAGTGCGCATTCGCGGCGTTTGAATTTTATAATGCTAAACAAGGATCGACACAAAGTGACTGACTGTACATATATACTTTTATGCCATTCCACTGCCATAGCCAAGGCCACGTCCACCTTTTAGGTTTCCACCAACAGCTATATTAATTTAATCTCTACTGCACAGGAACTGCACTATTACAAAACTAAAGTAGTAGAATAACAAGTAATAACAGATGTCGTTTATCAAACGGGTGTGACAATAAAAATATAACAGCATTCTCAGTTAACGCATAACCTGCGTTGATATATAGCAGAGCTCTTCATTAAATTATCATCGAAACAATCTTTGCTAAAATATGTTCAAATTCTAGATTGAAATCTAACAACAACATTCGTGAGAAACGTTATGACATTGCCCATCGCATTCAACAGCCTATGAGCAAGAGGCTCAACTGCCGTACCATTATTTGATTTTTTAAATTTAATAAAACAACATCACCGAAAGCAAAGCAATCATCGAGGCTTTCTGCGAATAGGCATAACTCACCCGAAAACCAACAAATGTTGCTATTCCGTAAATCTACACGCCATCACATTCCATCCAGGGTCTCAACCTAGTGACGACGACGGTGAATTTACACAGACAAATATGTTTATCTTCACACATGCAGAATGTACAGGATGTACAGTGAGTGCGTTTACATTCGGGCACGTAAAAAAGTGCCGACGTCATAGAAACACTAGGTGAATAGCGGACACGTTAGGGAGATGCCATTTCTGGAGCGACCCTTGCCCCCTCGAAACAATCTCACATCCGTGATCATATCACGCCTAGCAGGACCGACACAAGGATCCAAGAACTCGCCGAATTTTCACGGAAAGTAGTTGTAATCGACCTGTATCGGGTTGCGCATGTAACAAGGGGTTGGGCAGCCGCTGAAGATTACACCATTCCCTTCACGAGGGTGAGAACCTATCAGTTGAACGTGGCACGGCCCAGCCTGCACACAGGCACTTGGACCGTTTCAATAATAAAATGATGGTTAATAAATACAACTTGTCAGTAGCCTACTACTACAGTACCAGCAATAGTCTTAATGTTTGATTTGACCTAATAACTTCACTTGAACACCGTTAAATACACCGATGCAACACATAGCCCGCACGCCATTGTGCATGCACAGATACACAGTAGATAGGAGAAGGTAAGAAAGCCTTTTCACAGAAATTCCAGACCGCTCCACTCTTGTCGATGCACTAGAGACGAAATAAACCTCCAAACGCCATGATATTGGCATCTGTGTGTAGCTGAATGATCACTTGTTCGAAATATACGTCTTGCAACATGGTACCACAGACTTTACCCAGAATTATATGATAAATCCTGCTCAAATTTGCCGCAAATTTCCCATGAAGCCGATTTGTAAACCGGACAAGTACATGAGCAATGGCGGCGCATTGCACTCTGGGAGGAGTTGCATCCGCCTGCCCAACTCCAAAACGAGCCTCGACGCCAACCCCAGGGTACCCGGATGCCTCGCCGCCGGCGCTGTCAAGGTATGCGTTGCTATGCGTTGCTATGCGTGTGTCTGTACAACAGAAACTTAGTATTTGCTTTGCGTATGAATGTTGCTATAGATTTTTGATTTATATTGGTGTATAATAGATTTACATGATATAAAACAGTCAGCTTTTTACCAGTGAAATGTTCAAGTTGACAGAGTCACAGAAACGTGCAATTAGTTTGGTCAAAGACGGCCACAATCTTCTCGTTCTAGGACAAGCTGGTATTTATTTATCTAAACCTATACTATAGGCTATAGTATGGCTATATAAAATTAATATATTACTATTACTAGGCTATAGGCTATACTACTACTAGTAATATATTCCCTGTTCATCATTCAGTGCAGTCAATGAATTTTTTTATAATCTCACTGTTACTAATACTAATAGCTATTAATAATAATAGTGATTGAACCACGTAACTCAACGCGATGTACACGCGATAGTTCCAAGAAATTGTTCTGGTAGGCCTACTGGTAGGCGTATAGCCCGGCCAGACTGTGCGACGGTTTGTCTATACAATGTATTACAGGGTATTCTAACCCTAGCAATACCGTTTCTTGGAGCTAGTAGTCGTAATGATTGAGCATTAATTTCATTTGAACTATTTGTAAGGACAGTTTAATTTTTAGAATAATTATATATATATATATATATATATATATATACATTATCAGTGTTTAATACTAATGACGTAATGAACAGTTTTAACTTGCTTTTATACAGTCTTTTAACTATTAGTATTAGCATACACAGTGCACATTGTATACTCACTCATAGCCCGCGCAGGCTCCCCGGGGGGGTTAATCTCTATTTTTATTAGAACATTACCCCATGTGCATTTTCACTAAAAATGATAGGCCCCCTAGTGCGAACTGCACATTGGAAAACCCGACCCCCTATTGCAGACACAATTTAAGAAAACCACCCCCTATTGCTTACAGTGACACAATGAAAATATCCCACCCTCTATTGCATACACAATGATAGAGTCCTACCCGCGGTCCTACCCCCTATTGCAAGGTCTTGCAGACAAGTGGAGAGCAAAGAGTAGAGGGAATACTTGTGATCAACTCAAAGAAGACTACTTGCAACTCTTGTTGCTGTCAACAGAGAGTGTCAAATCTCAAATCAAGAAGAACGGAAGGAAAAGAGAGAGATTATTTATCACATTATGAGAATTTATTTGTCACAGCTTCAAATACTCAACTGAGTTACATTTGGACTTGAACGATCCCGAGAGCTTATTGCGGGATTAGCTGTATAAAGGGGGCCTATGTGCTCCCGCACGGGCCCGCTTTAGAAGTTGAAAAGCACCCCCCTAACTCGCTAAATTTGGAACGCACATGGAGGCATAAAGCATATAGGGTAATAACGGCATATATATAGTGATCACCCCCCCCCGGGCCAGGCTCTACGCAGTGTAAAGTGAGAAGGTAACTTGTGGCTAACTCACTCAGAGCTATACACTGTTGATATATATTATTCATGACCATTATGACAAAATATTAAATTTTGTAGGTACTGGAAAAACCTTCGTCCTGAAGAGAATTGCAGATGCACTGAAGAGCAATGAGAAATCTGTTAGTGTATTGAGCACAACAGGTAGGAACTAGTCTTTATTAGTTTTCACGTGATATTAACACTTGCTTATATATTAAACCGTTCCGCAATATTAAATGTTAAACTACTGCATTACAAAAAAGGGGATCCAGCTTTTTGAAAAAGGGGGTTCCAACTTGTTGTCCTGTTAAGGATACTCTCAGGCTTTTGACATGGTATTGCTTTATTGATGAGTAAACATTTATTGACCAAAGAAGCTAATGAGTAACATGTTTAGCTTATGTATAGATGTATCACCATGCTCAAAAAAATAATAATTCCACTAAATTTCTTGCATATAATTATGATACAACACAAATTTTGAATTAAAAAAAATGTAAATTTGGATATTTCTCAATAACCACAAACAGTGTGAAAGTAAAACCTTTGCTAGATGTTAAGTACCCCATGCGCTAAAAAACGGCATCGAGAATTTTTTTAAATTTCATATTTATATATTAAATTGCTCAAATGTAATGTAGATTTTACGAAATTGAGAGAAATATTAACACAGACATGAGTGATCTGCATGACATCACTAATTTATGTGTCAGAGGGCTTTACCCCGTTATGTTCCCGTGGGAACAGAGGTGGCCCATGGTGGCAGCTATCAAATAAAACTGTTAATGAAAAATCGATCAAATTTCGCAAAAAAGCCTGATAGTATCCTTAAATGATTTAATGTAAATGATACATATTCTCTTAACTTTGTTCTGAAATGGCCATGCATTAGCAAAAAGAGCAGAAAACCATCTATTTTAAGAC